TTCCAGCCAGGACCAGCGGCGGGGTTCTTGATCCAGGCGACGAACCACTTGTGGATAGAGTCAGCGAGCTTCTGCTGAGCGGTGGTAACGCCTTGGAGCTCGGAGAAACACTCGTTACCGCCGTGGAAGAAGGGGACTTCGGTGCCGTGGGTAGGAGCGGTGTTGGGGGGTCCGACGACGTTGTCGTAAGCACCGAAGAAGCGGTAGACCCAGGTCTTTTGGGACTCGCTCCGGAGGTCGAGAAGATAGTCGACGGGGCAGTTGAAGCGGGCGTCACCGTACTGAGCTCCGCTGCGGAGAGACTCGCTGGCGAAATCGGCAGGATCGTAAGCAGAGATGAGATCAGCGTCAGGAATATGAGCACTGTCCGCATCGAAGGTATTGATCCAAGAGCTAAAGTCGCTGTTCTCGGCGCCGTACACAAGGCTGAAGATGGTGCCCTCGCCGTTAGAAGTACCAGTAAGAAGAGGAACCTGGGAAGCGTAACCGCCGGAGGAGAGACGGCCGGGGTAGTTGGAGAAACGGGTAATGTCGTCAATGACGGGAGTAAACCAAGTGTTGAAGGTGGAGTTGAAGTTCTTGGTCGCGATCTCATTGATGTTGACGTCGCGGAGACACTCGAGCTGAGCGTTGCCGGCCTTGGGGCATCCGACCTCCTCAGCAACGGCGTTGAGAGCCTCGTCAACGGGAGCATAGGCAGGGCCGGAAACAGCATTGGCGCTCATCTCAACGGCGCCCTTGAGGAAGGTGTCTGGGTGGTTCCAGAGGTAGTGGTCGACCTGGACACCACCGGAAGAGTGACCTCCGAAGACGATGTGGTCGGGATTACCACCAAAGGCCTTGATGTTTTTGTGGACCCAGTCAAGAGCCTTCTCAACATCCAGAATGCTAAAGTTCTGGGTGTCATCGGGGTTGGACTCCTTCAACTCGGAAGAGTGGGGAGAAGCGTAGATGCTCTCTCGGGTGTTGAAGTTGACGTAGACAACGCCGTTCTTGGCAAAGTTTGTACCTTGGATTTGGGGGTTGCTGGAAGATCCAGTGACCATGGCACCACCGTACATGTAAACAAAGACGGGAAGATCCTTTCCATTCTTGGGTGCCCAGATGTTGAGGTTCAAGCAATCCTCATCCTGACGAGTGAAGGCATCGCCACCAGCCTGAGGACAGGTAGCGCCATAAGCCTTGGCCTTGAAAGGTCGGTCAGACTTGGGAAGATCCTGAGGAGCCTTCCATCTGCAGGATATCAGCATTTGTCTCAATCAGGATATCACTTCGTGTACTTACCGGTTCTGTCCACCAGTGGATGCAGCAAAAGGCACACCTAGATAAACACCGTTACAATGCTCATCGCGAAAACCCTCAATCTTGCCTTGTCCGATAGCAGCAGGGGGCAACGGGGGACAAGGTGCACCAGAAGCGCCAGGTGGAGGTGGAGGAGGAGGAGGTAGTGCAACACAACCAGCAGCCAGGGTCAAACCCGTAGCCAGAGTAAAGAGACTCTGATGAAGGACCATTGTGATTGTATGTTTTTGGATAAGTGAAAAGAAGGCTGAAACTTGGTTGTGGAATCCGAAAAGAAGGCTTCCTGCAGGTGGTTTAAAAGGTTGGTGACATTAAGAGGCTAAGCCAGTGGAATCTCCGAGAAAGGGGGGGCGTCGCGGAACTCTTAACTTGATGGGGAAGACGGCAGTGGAGTCGACGGTAAGCATTGAGTCTCTATATCCAGGGTCTTAAGAAACCATGACCTTGAAAAGTCAGATCAACCGCAGTTCACGTGCCACTTCAGGTGGTACTCTGGCTCTCAAATGCTACATTTACTGGGAATAATCGTAACATCTGCAGATCTAGATGTTCTATTTCTCGAGGGAGAGTAACATCGGGTCGTCCGGATTTCTCCAAGGCCGTCGGGCCGGCGAACTATTGTTAGTCCTGCCAAGTGCTCAGAGTCTAACCATTTCTGGAGTAGGCATTCGGTAAATACACTGCAATAAGGTTCGCCCGCTCATTGGGACATCGAGTCATGCGTGGAAAATGTTTGACGGATTCTCGAACGTGAGGAAAAAAGGGGACCTATTTCTGTGTCCGAAGGTCCGGACATTGAAGAAATTTACGAGCGTTGCAAAATTGCCCCTGTGCCTGGCGTCGGGGAGTTTGCAAGCCTTCACGGAACGGATCTTCAAGCCACCAGATCAATGCATCATCATCATCACCATCATCATCTATTCCAAACACTGATGAGATTATAGTGACATTCCCTACACATCCCCATGTCCTTGTTGTAGCAGATCAGTTGCATCATTCTCCTCCGTTTCACGATCGCAAATCCTGCAGGATGAATGTCAACAGGGGTAGTTGGCCGAAAGAGGTACGGATCGGCAAACTCGTCCCCATGCATGAAAGACTGTCCCGAGGATTCGGCGAATGTAACCCTGTCGCTTTCGCTTAGAACGCCTTATCGATTCAATCTTATCAGGCTGCTAGGATTGGATACCTTACGACGATCATCAGGGTACGTTTCTGGAAGAAGAAGGTCAGGCACCTTTGCGGCAAAATGGCTTAACAGGTACCGTGCGAGTATAGTTAGTGGGAGACTAGTAGGTACGGAATACTCGGGAATGCTTTTCAGCTGGTGACTAATTAGCTAGGGCATTGACTCGCCACAGTTTTTTCAGGAACTTACCGCACTCTCAGACTCTCAAAAACTGTGCCGAGACATGCGAGAGCACAGTCCTCTTTATAATATTGGAAAAAATTGATGCTAGTGACTAACAAAACATGGAATGCAGGACTTGGCTTCGGGCCTGTTGGTCCACAACCCGAGGCTTGACACTCTGTCCCTAGCTTAGGCCCTTCTTGACGGAGTGATCCAGTTACACGATTGGAGACCGCGACGTAAATTGTTCCACTTGGCAATACATTTTAACTTTGGGTCTAGTCTCTAGTTTTCTCGGCCATCTAACGTCTTTTGGTGATAGAAAGCGTAAACGAGGTACACAATGAGCTGATTGACAGAGAAATCCGGGAATGGTTCGTTACTTTTTCCCAAAGTATGCATCTTCAGGGGCCGCTACCAAGACGCTGGGAATAATAATAAGTTGACGTGCATCCCACCTGTTCCTGGGCTTGCAAAAATAAACTTTACTTTTTGTGATCGACGTTGCAATGGCTGAGGGTCTGGGTCAAGTGGTATGTGCAATGCTTGATGGTGATGCTCTCTATCTAACACACTGGATCTCTTTAGGTGTCTTGGTACATCAGTACTGTCGTTGCTTGTCTTTTTCTGATTTTGAGATTGTGGATCCGTGTGCGAAAGCTTGGATCGTTGCAGATTGATGATGGGTTCATTATTCTTTCTGCGTGCTGTTTGATCGGTGATCTTATCATTCAGCAGCATATGTGGGATTTGGGTATGGCGAATATTGGTGGTGCTACGCCTGAACAGTTTAAGGGAATGATGCAGGTAGGTTTTGATGAGATGGTCAATTGGGATGATTGCTGACTTGTATAGATGATTGTGCCTGGATCGATTCTCTACGTCACGTCGCTTTGGTCCATCAAGATCGCTCTCGTCCTCTTCTACAAACGACTCGCCGCGCCCGGAACGAAACTACAAACCATTTACAATGTTACGCTGGGATTATTGATATGTTTCTGGGCTGCTATCTTCTTCCACATCATTTTCCAATGTTTCCCCCACGATAAGCGATGGTCTCACGACCCGGATTGTACGTCACCCGCTTCTTCGGCGACAAAACAATTACTAACAGTTGAGCAGATCAATGCGATCCCGCCGAAGCCGAGCGAAATTACTGGTTGACAGTTCTGCTAAACATCGGTACCGACATCGCCATCATCAGTTTACCCATCTCCATGGTTCTCCAACTCCAAATGAAGACGAAACAAAAGATTGGTGTCGCTGCCATTTTCGCCCTCGGTTTCTTGGTCGTCATCGCAAGCAGTACGTCCAACCATCTCTCAGCTACAAACTCTACTAACAATCCCAGTCATCCGAGCCTACTACTCCAAGAAAAACGAAACAATGTTAACATGCACCGTCTCCATGATCGAAACAGCCGTCGCAATAATAGCAACATGTCTCCCACCTCTCCGAACTCTCTTCCTCGGCCAAATGTCCTCTGCCCGAACAGGTTCCAACTACGCCGGCCGCTACGAACTTTCCTCCACAGGCCGCAACGCAACGCGTCGAACAAACCAGAGTCGCATTACCACGAATGTCATGGGTGGTACACAGAACAATGATTCGCAGGATGAATTGTTCAAGGAGTCCGTGACGGCGCACTCTGTGGCGCCGAGTACGGATAAGTCGGCGGGGATTACTGTCAATACGACGATTTTGATGCAGCATAGTTCGGAGGATGAGGCGAGGAGATCACAGAATAGGCTTGATCATTTTGCGTAGAGTTCTTTTGTTTAGATAGAATATTAATTGTAATACCCTTTTACCAAGTACACCTTTGTCCACAAACATCCATACCCTGGATTGATCATCTGCAATTGTCCATGTGCTGTTCTGTCCGTACACAATGAAAGACTGATGTCTCAAAAATGTTGCATGAGAATGTCACTATCAAAAGTTGACATGTAATTTTGCTTTTGGCTCGATATCGGAGTGTCCCAATTGAGCAGCCATCAGCAAAAGACGACAAAAAGAAACGGGACACACTTTCCTATGTCTTGAATGATTGTCATGATCATGCTGGGGATCGAACCCAGAATCTTCTGATTCGTAGTCAGACGCCTTGCCATTGGGCCACACGACCTAGGTGATTTTTGGTGTCCATACTAGCCTCTATCACGCCGGTGGAACGGGCACCCCACTGGGATTCTCGGTCCAAAGTCGGGTCCAGTTTTGAACTGGACTGATGTCTGAAGCAAGTGAGGCTCATAGCGCTGTCGGTTCGCCAAGGTCTGGGGAGCCCACTTCAACGCCAGACGCGTTGATTATAGTGATCATTTGGAAATGAGAATAACATCCAAAAGCAACCATGGTGTAGTGGTTAGCATTAACGCCTTCCAAGCGTTAGAGTCGGGTTCGATTCCCGATGGTTGCACGAACGGATGAGACGCAAGTCTTGAATTCTTTTTTGCTTTTATCCGTAAGGAATTACTGGGATGTTGGCATTAGGGTAGGACACAGGACCGTGATCGTACTGTCGTGGGAATGGTTTGTCCCAACAGTTCAGAGACTAGCTTCACTTGGACGGCTGCAGAAGACTCCTAACTTCTGAAATTAGCATACTGTACAAAGGGAACAATGATAGGAAGCAGTTATTCTCAAAGGTCATTCTCATTTGCAAAAACACCGTACCACTGGAGTTCAGATATCAGTAGCGCGACGGCAAAACTTCATTCATTTTGCTACGTTACCAAAACTCACCAAAAACTAAGGCATATTCAATTACCAAAAACAATTGGAACTGACGAATTGAGTGTACCAGGTTGGTTCTCCCATAAAGGTTCAAACTGGTAAGCCACCCACCAATTCTCAACCCTCACAGACACCGAGACTCACTACCGCGACCAAAAAGATGTCTGCCTCAGTCAATGACAGAGAAAAAGAAAAAATAAACTGATGAGACTGGGACTCGAACCCAGGAGGATTGCTCCACCAGGAAATTAGTTGTTAAGGTTAACCTTAACCTGGCGCCATAACCAACTCGGCCATCTCACCCAAGCTAGTGCTGTTATTGGTCGAGCCCGAATCGGAGCTTGAGTAGCCAGTCACGACTATCGCTACGTTGAAGTCCAGGTCCAAAAGAGTTCTCGAAATTGACATAAACACTCACCATATTCTTCGTAATGAGGCATTCGCTTAGCTACGAGGTTGTGTTTGCTGGCTGATAAGCGAGCTCTCCGTCATGGCACCCTTGCTGCCTAGAGGGAATCCCCCCACCAACAACAGCCCGCTCTGTACTACAGGTCACCTTCTTTTCTCATCTTTTTCCATCTTTATCTCCACGCTTCCAAACAACAGCACTCTCACCAATCATCTCCAATTAATCAGTCTACTCGGCAAAGATGGACAAAGTTCCCAATGAAGTTCTTGACTTGATACTAAGTCACCTAACCGCCCACCGAAAAAAACACGACCTCTACCAAGCGCGCCTTGTCGCCAGAAGATGGAACCACCTCGCAATAAAGCACATCTTCAGCACCATAGGTCTCTACCACAACAGCGTCCCCGCTCCCAAGCAATTCCAGTCCTGGCATAAGCTCCTCGGACAAAAATCTATCAGAGATACCGTGCAGCGCGTCATTATCCATACGTGGCCTGATGGTGTACGCAAGGATGAAGGTCCTTTCCATTGCGATTGGGATAAGTGGGAATGGGATGGCGAATGGCCTGAATTCACATCGGCCATTGATCGCATCATTGAGCTTGATCATCTAAAGGCTCTTGAGATCCACTTTTCACACATGTGTCGCGGGGAGGAAAGTCATTGGCATGAGGGAGCCGGTGCCAGTGAGGATCGCGAAATGCCTGGTGAGCGCAAAGCTGCGCTTGAGGCTATATACAAGGCCGTCAAACAACGAGAAGCACGGTCCAACGCATCGCCCATCCGGGAGTTGAGACTAAACCATCTTCAAAACATGGATCCACCAGATGTACTCGTCAATGGTCTGCTTAAAGGTATCGAGCGCCTTGATCTGAACATCGTGGAAGAGGAGAACGTGTTTCTAAACTCTGACGACTTTGAAATGCCCGAGAAATTTAAATGGGACGGTATTCTGCGGAATAAGATATTGGCACCTATCGCAGATCAGTTGGTCGAACTTTCCATCGGGGCTCAGTACGAATGGGGTCTTTTACCGGCACGATTTAAAGGAAAAGGCCTTTTGTTCCCGAAGCTGAAGAAACTCAGATTGGATCTTTATGCAATCGGTCACTACGATCAGATGGACTGGGTTCTTGATCAAAAGTCTCTAACCAGACTTCACCTGGAGCATTGCCAGATAGTAACCCATCTCCATTTCAGCGACCAAGAGGAGGAATGGGACATATCGACTGATGACTGGGAAAGCTCCAACGAGGATCCATGGTTCCGTAGTCTCGCCACGAACTACTATACCTTTGACTTAAGGTGGAACACCATCTTTGATAAGTTCCGCAAAGGTCTGCCTGAACTCACAGAGTTCCGAGTAGGCTGGGCATTGATCGGTGAAAGTAAAGGGGACTTTTCTAGACGTTATCTAAACTTTTCAACGGATGGCTTTCCTGTGCCGTTTATGCAGGAGGAGGAATATGATCGGGTGAAGGAATGTAAGTATGGTCCTTGGGACGTGGCTGATGATGCTTATGATATGGATGTAGCGGCGTTGGAGGCTCTGAAGAAGACAGTTTATGAGAGACGGAAGGGACAGAGTATATAAGAAGAATGAGTAACATTTAGAATTGAAAAAGAGTTATCTTTGCATCTCTGCTATACACGATGACTAGGGTGTGTGAGATGGTTACTGTGGCACGGCGGTCCAAGGTGAATTCTCACCCAACAATATGCCTCTTTGACCGGGGTAAGGCAATCACCGAAACAAATGCCTGTTTCACAAACAAACAGCCAAACACTCCGTGACATTGCTGGCACATGGAGGTGACATTCCTTGGCAAATTACCAGCCGCCCTTTCCCTTTGTTTGCTTTTTTGCTGACGGCTAGTCTCCACTCTGTTTACACCTGTTACACGCAACACGTGACACACATCATCGTTCCTTTCTTCCTTTCACTTCGTTTTAACTCATCTCATCGCTTCATCGGCAATCTCATTTTGCCTCATCCAAGGCTGCTGGCAGCGTGGTATTCAATCCTGCAATGGCCCCTCCTCGCGTCGATCACAAAATCTACAGCCGCGGCCCTTCAGCCCAATCCGCCTGGCGCGTTTACGAATACACCGGGCAATGGCCACACGAACTCGTCAAAGGCTTTGAACCCCCATCTTGGGCCGAGACGTTCACCCGTGAACTTGCGACACTTATGGGTATTTGTCACGGAGCGAGAAATGTTGAGATCAAGGATGTTGTGCAACAATTGAAGAGCAGCGCCGCCGAGCGCAAGGCGCCGCGCAACTGCCTTACTCGACTCGACATCTCCCAGGCTCGGGAGTGGTTGATTGTTGAGAAAGGTGTTACTACGACGAAGTGTAAGAGAGTGAGGCACTTGAAAGAGGAGAGTGATGATGAGTCTGGAAAGGAATCCGAGTCCGACGTGGAACGGGACTCTGATGAGGAACCAAGGTCTGAGGAGAAAGAAGCAGAGGATGAGGAAGAATCAGGGTCAGATCCTGAGCCTTTGTCCGAGATCAACGTCCATGACAGTGATGACAGCACAAGCGACAGTTCAAGCGATGACGATGAGATGGAGATTGATGAATCGACCGCTTCAGCTACCACCAAGACCAGGCTTCGAAATGGCCAGCTTACCAGCAAACAGAACAAACAATCTTTCCCGACCCCATCCGTGACTCCCCAAGATACCCGCAAACGACTATTTGACGGACTGGACGAGCATTATCGAAGAGCTGTTCGAAGAGCAGCCATGGCGAAGAAGCGTCAATCCCAACCACAAGCGAAATCACAGCCACTGCCTACGCCCCCTGCCTCGGGTGGTTCAGTACCACCAAACAACAAAAGCAACGATAGAGCATCTAGCAGCTCTGCTGTTTCCGAACCGCCGGCCAGTACAAACGAGCTCTGGCCAAAGAGACTTCGTACGCGCGTCGGGAACGTTTCTTTACACAATCGCCATGAAAGCCCTCTTCGACGTGAATCTGGCTCCACGATACCCGATTCCAACTCTGAGAGCGATGAGAATTCTCGAGATACCGCTCCTGCCTCGCCTACTTCGCCTGCTTCAGTGTCAAGCAACTTCGAAGAGCATCCACCCGCGACAGCTCCTGCCACTGCAGCGCCGCCTGCCATTGAACCCTCCACAGTTGCCCCCACAACAACAACCCTCGCTCCCACACCTTCGAACAAAAACATCAGCTTGGCAAGCATCGATTCCATATCAACAACCAGTCGCACTCGACGAAATATTCAGCTACCTTCCCGAATTGCTTATTCGCAGCCTCAAAGCGCCGTGGCTATTGTCGAAAAGTCTCGCAAGCGACCTCGAGAGCCTACTGTTGAGACGCGCGAGCATCCAATGTCCCTTGAGTCATCACCGGAAAGCGAGGCAAATTCAGTTTCAGTTATGGGAACCCTCGCCAGAAACGCGTCCCTCCGTTCTGCATCCTCTGCAGAGGCGGTACCTGCCCAGGCAGCCTCTTCGTCTTCGCAAACAGGACCAAGTTCGGCCTCTCGAATGTCGATCGCTTCCTTACTCCAAGTTCCCGTGGAAAACACTAGCTCTGAATCCCCATCGCCGGCGACTTTGGGACGAGACGGCGAGCCATCCAACCCGCCACAGTCGAACTCTCCGCCAACAACTGTGAGCCCGCCCGCCAAGAAACAGAAGCCTGCGGATACGAGAGTATCAGAGACATCTTCCAATGTCGATATCACCCAGGTAAGAACCTCAATCCGGAACCGATCGAGCTTCTCTAACACCCAACAGCCCACTGGGGAAAATCCCGACGAAGACTTACCAGACTGGGATGCACTGATAGCAGACTGGGACGCAAAAGCAGCCCGTGTCGTCAACGCACATACGAACATCCAAGAGAATAGAATAACTCTGTCGGAAAAGTCCAAATACGTCGAGTTCTTGGAACACATGCATAGAACGAACCCCCCCGATGAAGACGGCCGCAAACACTACGAAGACGAAAAGAGAAAGCTGGGAGACCTCCAATTCGTCCACGGGATATTTATAAGGGGATTCGAGGAAGCGAAAAGAGCGGCTGTCGCGATGACGGATCCTGATGTTACTTTGGCGGAACAGGCGAAACGAATGGGAGCAAGTAAGAGAAAGCGTCAGGGACTGACGCATTAATTATTGGGAGCATGAGGGAAGTCTATGCTAGGCTATAGGTGAAGCATAGTTGGCGTACATGGTTGATATTCAGCAGCGATAATACCCCTTGGACGTACATCATACATGGTTTTCAGTGTATTTAGCAAAGGAACAAAAATGAAAACCTCGACACAGGATTGAACTATGGACCTTCTCATTACGAACGCTCTGCCACTGACCTATAGAGGCTGATTGATAGGATTTAGACGAAGGTTCACTCAAAGAAGTCTATATCTCCCAATGTGTGCTAGTTTATGAAAAGCGTATTCTGCTAGGGCGACATTTCTTTAGCTGGGCAGCATTCTTACCGCTCCTAGGGTGCAACATCGAGCTCTGGAGTACATAGTTGATTGAGTAGCATCAATAGCCCTTTGCTGAGATATCTAGACATAAATAGTTAGTGGTGTAGTCTGGCATCGGGTCAAAAAGGCAGGCCTCAACATAGAGTCGAACTATGGACCTTCTCGTTAATAGTGAGACGCTCTACCACTGAGCTATAGAGGCTGAGTTTTCTTATTTAGATAAAGGTTTGCTTATTGAAGTATATAGGTCTTGTAATAGGTGCTGGTTTAGGTTGTGCATGGAAGTTTACCTACTCAGGGCTGCCGGTTGATTGGTGGGGAACATACTCACCAGATCTTATGCCAAACCAATAGACAGGATCGGACATCCACTGTGGGTACAGGAGAGATGCGAATTGTTGGACTGACATTACTGGAGTCAGACCTTTGATGTGGAATGGGAAGAAACCTGCCGTGTTATGCCTTTGTTGGTGATGTAACACCAGTAGTCATGATGGTCAAAGGGAATTGCACCCTAAATATTCTGGCCATTGAAAAACACGAACAGTACATCTAGCAGCTTGTCAAGTAATCAAGTTATCTTTGCCTCGAATAGATATTATCAACAATAACATACTCATTCATCACCTATTTGGAAGACTGAAGCTGTCGTGTGCGATCCACCACTACACAAATCAACAACTGACCTCACCCTCCAGCGAAACCAGGACATCTACATCCATGCTATACCTCCAAAGCCTCGTGATAGATCATCTCAACTGCCGATGCAGACTCCTCCACGTCGTCACAATCATGCAAGTCTGTCGCACACGACATCGGCTTCACGATACACTCAGGGTCCGACGCTAGACTATATACAGACTAGTACAAGTGGTCCCGAGTCAAGCGACAGACAAATATGCCAAGTCTAATTGGTTGTTTCTCATCACTGCTCGGACAATTCGCCCGAATGTCACTCCGTTTCGGAGGTTTGGCTGCGGGGTTTTACAACGACTTATCATAAATATCCCAGACATTTCTTTCCTACTCTGGTGTCTCAGATATTTCTGTACCTCAACAGTCACTATCAACTTCATCATGAGTAAAAACCAAAAGATCGGGGCTTATTACGCCCCCAAGGGCGGTCTTCCTCCCCAAACTCAACTTCTCACCGACAGAGCCATGTTCACCGAATCATACGCCGTCATTCCAAAGGGCTGCTTCAGCGATATCGTCACCAGCTTCCTACCCTTCTGGGAACAAACCCGTCTATGGGTCATCGCCCGTCCTCTATCTGGCTTCGCCGAGACTTTTTCTCAGTACATCATGGAGGTTGCGCCCGGTGGTGGAAGTGACCGCGCGGAAATGGATGATACTGCTGAAGGTGTCTTGTTTGTCGTCGAGGGTGAAATCGTCGTTACGCTGGCCGGTGAGGCGCATACACTTCCTGAAGGTGGCTATGCCTTTTTGCCGCCCAAGTGTGGCTGGACGCTGCGCAACAATTCTGCTCAACCTGCGCGCTTTCACTGGGTGCGTAAAGCCTATGAGGCTGTTCCTGGTCTCGACGCACCAGAGGCATTCTTCGCCAACGAGAAGGAGATTGAGCCTAGAGAAATGCCCGACACGAACGGTGCATGGGCGACAACCCGTTTCGTGGATCCTACTGATGTGCGGCACGACATGCACGTCAACATCGTGACATTCCAGCCCGGCGGCATTATCCCCTTTGCTGAAACACATGTTATGGAGCACGGTCTTTATGTTTTGGAGGGCAAGGCTGTTTACAGACTTAACCAGGATTGGGTGGAGGTTGAAGCGGGAGATTTTATGTGGTTGCGTGCTTTCTGTCCTCAGGCTTGTTATGCGGGTGGACCTGGAAAGTTTAGGTATTTGCTTTACAAGGATGTTAACCGTCACCCCAAGTTGACAAGGTAGATGAATAAAATATGTGGAAAGGATGAGTCAATTGTGTATTCTAGACAGGCTGGTTATGTTTTGGGCAACTCTTGCGTACGGATGAAGACGCGAAATCGTCGGTAGGACTGTTGACAGGAGCAGCTAGGTGCCACCCGTGAGCCCGCATAGCCTGCTTCCGCGCAGTCTTGGCCCGATCCTCCGCTTTCTCATACGACGTTAGGGTCCCTTTCTTTCTCCTCCATTCCTTCATCTGGTCATGCTGTAGGGCTGCCAACAATGGTGGGTGGTTGTCGATGTCAACAATTTTAGGCTCGTTCTCCCACTGCCTCTCCAGCCTCTCGTATTCCTCCTTTTCCTGTTCTGACGGCTCTACCACAAGTCTCGGACCGCCGCTACCAGCCGCGGCCAAGCCGCCGCCCACACAAACGAGGACAACAATGATGATACCGGCAGGAATCCAGAACTTCCAACTTCGATACCACGGATTCCCAGGAGAATGAGCAGGGGGTGGAACATCGTTGTCTCTGAGCTGTCTTGCGACGAGGGCGGGGATCTCCTTTGCAACGGAGATCCAGGGTGAGGGATTGGCGAGTGCTGGCATTGTGGGTGACTTTCTGCTGGATGGGCGGGTAGATGGATGTAGATGATGTGTCGGACTCTGGGTGTTGAGAGTCAGGTGGTAGATGGATAGGTAATAGAAGAAAGACGCGGAGCAAGAGAGTAAAGCAGTCCAAGTGCCAGTAAAGGCTAGCTTAAGGAAACTACGTTGCTTGGCGGATGATGCTCTTGGTAAATTATTTCTTGACACCCTGAGACGTGATGAGGGTTTTTTGAGGTAGATGTAAGGGGATGAGTTGTGGGAGGGCCGGTTACTCTTTATAGACTTGTCTACTGGGTTAAGGGCCGGAGGTACTTTCCTCTGCATTGCTTCTAGACACTTCTTTGTGGCAAACTGGAAACTTAATTCCCTTGTGGAATCTTACGATCAGATAAGGTTGTTGATGATATTTACACTTTGCGCAGGGCATCATGACTCCTTTGCCCACACATGACCTTTTTTTGTCATGCCCTGTACACGTGGCATCTTACGTACGTATGCCACATTCAAGAGCTATCGATAGCAGCTGTGTGTTCCATTGATACTCGGGACTTGCTTGTGGCACATCGGGTGATAAAGATGCCCACAATGCGTACTTAATAAAACAACAATTTTGATCACACGAACGTGTCCCATTGATAAACTACAAGATAAGAAATCCCATACGGGCCAGACCGACTATCTTGCAACATTTCCCCAGCCACTAAAATCGAGTGCTAGAACGCCTACTCACGGAATCTGTACATCTTCCTCCCCTCTCCATGCCATTTCCCATCATGCCCAGCGTGACCATTTCAACAATATTACCACTCAGTATTATAAAGCCTCTGCTCCCTATCCCTAGCTTTCTTTCGAATCTCCTTCCGCGTTGTATCCTGCACAGCTTCAAGCTTTGCCTCAGTTTCGTTTTCCCTGGCTCGCTCGTAAGCCTCCCACGTAGCCAAATCGACTTCCCTTTTTCTTGCCTCCTGTCTCTTCTTGTGGCGCCATGCACTTAGCTTGCCGTCCGACCCCGAGTCCGAGTAATCGGCCTCTTGGCTAGTATCACCTTTTCCACTGGCCCCGCCCGCGCAGACGGCACCGATGATGATGATTACAAGGACACCACCAATGGCCCAGAACTTTTTGCTCTTATACAATGGAGTACTAGACGAGAGAGTGGTGATTAAAGGGTTGTTGTGAAATGGTGTGTCGTTGTCGCTGAGGTGTCTTGCGATGGGGCAGGGGTTTTCCTCTGCGATGGCGGGGTGTTTTGCTATGAGGGCGCGGACTTTCTCTGCGAGGGAGTTCCACGGTGGGAGTGTGGCGAGTGGCGCCATTGTGGGTGATTTTTGCCGTGTAGACGGGTAGATGGATGGCTGTAGATGATGTGCAGGACTCTGGGTGTTTAAGTCAGGTGGGAGGGCAATAGAAGGATTGTTCTCTGGACTAGCATGAAGTAACCAAGGTATTGGTCCTTATGCTCCTGGCGGCTAGCTTGACGAATGGGTGGACTTTTGGAGGAAAATGTGAAAAGGCATGAACTTGGCGAGGATGTGTTGTATTTTAAAAACTTTTCCTCGGACAGGCGCTGGATATTTCCTCATCTGTTTTGTTTCTCGATAACTCTTTGTGGATCTGCCTACAAACTTAATCCTGTTGCGTGACTGACCCTGTTTGGTGTGATTGTATTGTTGGGATAGGGCTGAATTAAACTTATTCTATAAAATGCCACTTCGGCGGCGATCAAGATATCACCGAGCAGACGGAGAGTTTATCCAAGATTGAGTTTCGCGTAAATAGGTTAGACTTTCCGGATTGAACAGATTTGTATCACAAAATAATGCGGTTACTTTGACACTTTCACTCTTGACCAAGTTCTTGGTAAAACAGATGGTGAATTCCTCACCTTTGCAGCTTTGGGCTATTAGATACCAATAACGAACCGATTCTCAACAAATCCCTCACTACAATTGGCTCAGCCAGTTCATCTTCCGTAGTATAGTGGTCAGTATGCAAGCTTGTCACGCTTGAGACCCGGGTTCAATTCCCGGCGGGAGAGATCCAGCCACCTGCGATACGCAGGTCTTCTTTTTTGCTTTTTGGCCGAATAATCGGAGATAAGATCCACTTGTTCGTTTTTGCTTCGCAGAGTGGGTATCGCGGCTCCAACTGGTTGAGCGTGGTGTGCTGATGCTTGTGTGGAAATGAAGATAGATGAACCATATTTACCAAGAGTAAAGGGCAACGTAATTTGTGAGAGATAAAAGTGATTGAGATTATTGACGGGGATCAATTCAAATCTCATTCCAACCAAAGAAGCCTGATACACGTCACTTTGACAGCTAAAAAGTGAGAGTTTGGCATCTGTCCAAACATTACCCTACACCATGTTTTGGTTTCATTAGCTAAATAGACGTAGCTTTGATTCGATGGCCATCGCCAGCATTTACTAAAGATTCACAAGTCTTCATACTTATGGTTTAGATCAGAAGAAGATATGAACACGATGATCAATACTTTTTTACTCGTGGGGGCACAATCTGCTCAGGCCATTCAAATATATGACACAACACATCGTGGCAACGAAAAAACGCCACATATGATCTGGCAATCGCGCCTGATGTGATTATGCCGGAACCTAATCTGAACGGCTTTTATCTTGATAGGTGGTAGATACGCGTTTGCATGGCGCGCTTGATACCGCGAATAGCGTCGGGTTGACGAGC